GGTGTGGTTTGTATAGAGCCTAAGCTCTAAACAATCAAAATAGAGCCTACATTAAAATAGTATCGAGAAATGTGGTTTCAATATTGAAAATCTTTGTGATAGCCTTAAATACGGTTTCATATTTATTTATAAAATTTAAAGCTTAAAAAATAGTGTAGATCGACCTATCTATGAAAACTTGAAAATATTGAAAATTGATGGTCTAATAATGCTTTACAAAATACACTATTTTCAAAACTTGCAATCCATTTTTCTCTCTTGTCCATGCATCTTGATGTCGAGATGATCAATTTGAAGATATTTGGGCATCAAAATAACCTTTTCTATTGAAACTTTTCAGATAGGCTCAAATTTGATTGTTTAGAGTCTCGGCTCTATATAAACTTTTTCCTATATATATATATAGAAAAACTGGGATTAGCTTATCAGCTCATATGAGCATATGAGCTCAACAGCCCCATATTGAATTTGGGTCGATCTGATGATCACAGATGCCTGGTAGTGCTTGAATTTTATTATTTTTTCTACAAATCCAAATTGCTTGAAATTAGGTGTGTGTTCCACTAATCAAGGCGCAACTAATAAAAATATAAAAGAAATTATTTGTATAAAAAAGACCAAAATACCCTTAAAAACTTTTTGAGGGTATTTTGATCAATTTATTTCATGTAAATTTTTTTTTTTATATTTTTCGAAGATTCACCTATTTTTGATAAACACACGCCAAAAATTTAAAGTAATTTGGATTTGTAGAAAAAAAAAATTCAAATACAATCAGACATTCGTGATCGTCAGATCGATCCATATTCAATCTGGGCCGTTGGTCTATATAGAAAAAGCTGGGATTAGCCCACTAGCTGATATGAACATATGAGTCCAACGGCCCAGATTGAATCTGGGCTGATCTGACTATCACGACCTCATTTTGTGTTTGAATTTTAATTTTTTTTTCTACAAATCCAAATCACTTGAAATTTTAGGTGTTTGTTCTTCTCATCAAGGCGCACCTAATAAAAATATAAAAAAAAATCATTCGTGAAAAATGACCAAAATACCCCAGAAATTTTTTGGAGGTACTTTGGTCCATTTATTTCATGTGAAATATTTTTTTGATATTGTTTGAAGATTCAACTATTTTTTATGAATATACTCAAAAAATTTCAAGTGATTTGGATTTGTAGAAAAAAAATGGAAATTCAAACACTGCCAAACATTCGTGATCCTCAGATCGGCCCAAATTTAATCTGAACCATTGGGTTCATTTGTTCTTGTGAGCTAGTGGGCTAATCACAGTTTTTTCTATATATATATATATATATTCGATCCTAGTTATTGCATTTGATTTGAATAGAGGTGTACCAATATGTTTATAAATGTGGATATAAAGTAATATGGTACTTACGGCGCCTTGGGAAAGCATTGCCCAGACACTACAAACAAAAAAAAATCCACATAACCGGGATGAGTTGGGCTTCTTCAATTTGTATCATCTATTTTTCATTGCATATAATGTGAGGGCCGTACAGATTGGCCAGACAACAATGCCCTCAACTTGCCTTCTCGACTCATCATAAGTGGTTACAGTGAGTTAGACTTATGCCTAATTTCTTGGTGGTCCTTAATTGACAAATATTGAGGCTTGCGCCATTGTCGAATATAACTCAATCGATTCTCAAAGCAAATAGGATGATGCAGAGGGGTTTATTACAGTACCAGTCATACGTTGAAGGGATGTCATTATCAGTCAAAGTTTTGGCAATGACAATGTTGATATTTGTAGATGATGACAAGAAGTGCACCATGGTAAGCCTCTATGAAAGGATTGAGACAACGAAGGCCGTGATGTGCCCGACTTGCTCATTTTCACATCGGAATAGAAATCATTGATAACGGATGGTGGTGGCAATTGGGCTTAGACTATTTACTGTGCAGGTAAATGGTCTTTACACATTTCGAGATGGGTTGTTAGGTTAGGGTGCTCACATTAAGGAGTACTCAATAAAATTCGGATACTTATATAATTTTATTTTGTTTATGAAGTTTTTTTTGAGTAGAGGTATTTTTGATCATTAGGAAAAGTGTAACATCATGTACATGGACGTGACATCACCCACACGAATTATTAAATGCCACTAGTGTGCTCTAGTGGGTGATGTCACACCCAAAACTATTTTTATTAAAATATGCTAATGTACAAAATAAGAGTATGTAAGTGTCTAAAATTTATTGACAAAAAATACTCTTATTAAAAAATGCTTATGTACAAAATAAGAGTATATAAATGTTCAAAATGTATTGAGTATAATGATAAATTACTCCATCATATGAGAATCCTAAAATGACCTTAATTATCAAGTTAACAAAATTTCTACGCAAGTTGACTCTGAACTCTCTTAGACAATGGATCTGCTTTCTCTTACCATCTCAAATATGTCTATGCAAAATTTCGATTAAAAATACTTACCAATGAAGAATATAGAGTGATTAATTACATGTATAATTATCAATCAATCATTGCGCTTTCGATTAAAAATACTTACCAATGAAGAATATAGAGTGATTAATTACATGTACAATTATCAATCAATCATAAATGATAGAATTAAAATCAAATAGTGATATGTTTAAATCCTTAAATATTTGAGAAAGTAAGAGAAGTCAGTATATTAGTAGGGATTTGGACCCCTACCTTTTGATGAAAATGAAGTCAGACACATAGGGCTCGACAATAATACTGCCAAGGCCCCAGGCCATTCTCTATTACGAGGACATTATCATGTTATACTAATAAGTATAATTATTGTAATGCTATTATCATAAATTGTAATAATCATAAGCATAGTTATCATATTGTTGTACATTCATTTTCTGTATTCAAGACCTAATTATTTTGAAGGGATGTATACAATGGGACCCTTTACCTTTGGTATAAGGAGGTCATAATTACTTATAACTATACGATGTGAAATTAGATGGCTTGAGCGAGTCACAAAATTTGAGAAACTTTTGAACATTGAGCTTGGACAATAGAATAAATGCTACTACTCAATTTCATATCTAATGGTCAAGATTAATTGTGACCACTATGTATTAAAGGTTAAAAAGTCTCATTATATATTTTCCTTATTTTCAAGTATTTTAAAAATTGCATTGAAATTAAATATAGATTATTATAATTACTTACATTATAATATTTTATATTTGAAGAGATGAATCTACACATGGACATCATCAAATTGCATGTGCATCATAGATAGTATGACGATATCATGTTTTTCATGTATTGAACAACAATAGCTAAATAGTATGAGTTATTTTACTCACAATTGAAGAACAACATCAAAATTTAATGCTGTTCGTATACATTGTGAGTTATTTTACTCACAAACTATAAAATAATTTTGAGGTGATTTACTCACATACTACAATTTAATATTGTTAGCTTCATTTTAAAGGGTGAAATGATAAAGTATTTTGAAAAGTTATCATTGACACACTAGTAGAGGAGATTGAAAAGAAATGAGGCTTCGTGGTAATTATCGAGATATTGGAGGAGACCAATCCAATAATAAAAAGAAACGATACTTTTGAGAATGGGGTTGGGTTCGTGGTTGTGTGACCCAGCTGAGGTTTATGCTTTCATTCTCACATGATACAATAAAAAACCACTAATGATTTAAAAAATGGGTATTCTCACTAACGCATTAAAAAACCACTAATAATTTAAAAAAACTCAGGTAGTGACGTGTCATCACCACTAAATATCAAAAAACACGGGTAACATCCCATTGAATTTTTACCCATTGAAGTAGAGCTTCAACTAATTTGTTTTAATTTTGTTTTCAAAAATATGAAGAGAAATTAGAACTTCAAATTTAACTCGTGTTTGTTTTCAAAAGATATAAGAGAAACAAAAGAGAAAAGAATAAATGAAAGAAATTCATCATTCACATAATTTTTAGAAAAGAAAGGATTCAGAACCAGGAGGAGAAGACTGATCTCGTTTTGTTTCCAAAAGATGCCAAAGAGAAAAGAATAAAAGAAAGAAACTCATCATTCCTATAGTTTTTTAGAAAAAAAGGATTTAGAAAAAGGAGGATAAGACAAAAGAAAGTCATCATTCATATAATTTTTGGATTAGTAATAAGATTTTTTTAAAAATTATCTATCTAAAAATGGTAAAAATTAAATAATTTGTCAATAAAAAATTTATTTATTTGTATTAATATATATAGTTATATAATTGTCATTGACTTTAATTAATTATAATTATTTTGTTAATAATATATCATATCTATATTATTTATATATTTCATATTGTATATCGTTTATGTACTTGAAAATATATTATAAAAAAAAAAAATATATTTAAACCGTTTGAATACACTTTAATAATAATAATAATAATAAATTACATAATATTTTGAATAAAAATCCATTACACAATATTTCTCCAAAAATCAATATAACTATTAAACGCGTGCACTGGAAAATCCTTTACGCCATTTCGCGTCTCTCTAAAAAAAACCCTCCATTTATTTGGCACTAAAAAACTGCGAAATCAAAAACCATTTTCCCTCTCTACTATTCACATCCTCATCTCACTCTCAAGCCCTTCTCAAAATCCGAGCAGAGTTGGGAGAAGATTGGTAAGCCCTAACCCTTCTCTCTCAAGCCCTCTCTTAAATCAGCCCTCTCTCTCTTGAGCTACTGAGGACAACCTCTTCTTGGACCCACAACAAAAACTAAAGGCTGGGATTGAAGGAGTTAGCAGCCAGCTAGCTCATTGGATTGACAGATTTTGAAAAGGGATGGGATGGGATGGGGAAGGCTTTCATCATCTTTCATGGAGATCTAATTTGATATGGTGCTTATTTCCCGGTATTTTGATGATTTTTTTTTTTCCTGTTTTTTTCTTATAGTTTTGACTTTTGAGCATTTGTTGATTGGTTTCTTCCTCATATTTATAGGACTATGAATATACATATATCAGCTTTGGATTTTTGACCTGGTTTTGTTCATTTATTGTATTTCATGAGATAGTTGGGATGGCTTGCTGTTTATTTATTATTATTATTATCTGATTATAGGGTTTTGTATGTTTGAACTTTTTTTTCTTGGAAAATTCCATCTATTTTGTAAATTGTGGAAATAGGTGCAATGTGGAATAGATTATATTTGGGTTATGGGAGCCTTTAAAGTATTCCCAATTTAGACGTGGACTGAGTTGCTCTACAATTAGTTGAGTGTTGAGGCCATATTATAGGCAAAGTGTTTTGGAATACCGTGGAGGACTACTGCAGGGTTTTGGAAGAAACAGGACCTGTAAATGGAATCAACAGTCTTGTATGTTTCATAAGAAGAACATTTTTTTATTTATTTTCTCTTCATAGTTGCTGTATTTGTGGTAGCTGATTGTAAGAGCTTCTGTTACCAGCTCTATTACTAGAAGAAACACTGCCTTCACCAGATGCACTTGTTAAATTGGACATGTGTTGCTACTTCCCTTCTAAAAATAATGCCTAGGATTTATAGGAAAATACTGAAATGGCTGCAACATCTATGTTTTGTTGGAATATAAGAAGTAACGATGAGGTTTTGTGTTAAACAATTGGAAGGTTGAGACTTCCTAGTTTCATCTTGTGTTGGAATATAAGAAGTAACCAGGGGGTTTCGTGTTCTTGGTACTACTGGTTTTTGAAGTAAATGCCTCAAAATTCCTTATGCAACCTTGCTCTTGGAATCACGTTGATTTTTATCTTATCTCTTAACCACACCAGTCTATGGTTTTGTGTTCTTGGTACTAACTGGTTTAATATAACCCATTTTTTTGATCTAGGGTTTTTATTTGAACTTTGCGGATATGGGGCAGAAAAAGGGGGACGATCAGCCTTCTGCAACTACTAAGGGGAGAGGCAAAGATTCCAAAGATCACCCAAAAAAAGAGCGGATTTCTGTATCTGCCATGCTTGCTAGCATGGACCAGAGGTCTGAAAAACCCAAATCCTCTTCGTCTTCTCAATCGAAGTCGAAACCAAATCCCAAGGCTTCAAGCTCTTCTTACATTGATGGCCTGGACCTTCCACCTTCAGATGACGAAGAAGACATTGAAGAACAAGAAAACCTAGACACTGCAAGAGAGAAAAGGAAACAAGTTCAATTGAGCCGGTCGGGCACCCAAACCCTAGATTTGTCGATCTCAGATAAGGAGTTAAAGAAGAGAGAGAGGAAGGAACAGGAATTAACTCATATTGCAGAGATTGTGAAGGAGTCTCTCGCTGATGATTGGGATGCGTTCTCAGTGGTGATTGGAACTACGGTTTCTGAATCAGAAGCAGATGCCAATGTTAAGGATATAACCGTTTGAGAATTTCTCTGTATCAGCTAGAGGAAAGGAGCTCTTAAAGAACGCTTCTTTGAGGATCTCTCATGGCAAAAGATATGGGCTTGTTGGTCCAAATGGTAAGGGAAAGTCCACTCTTTTGAAGTTATTGGTATGGAGGAAAATCCCTGTTCCCATGAACATCGATGTTCTTCTGTTGAGCAAGAGGTTGTGGCCGATGATACACCTGCTCTTGATGCTGTGGTCTCTGCTAAGGAAGAGCTTGTTAGCCTTCGAACTGGGGCCTCAAAGCTTCAGATGAATTCAGAAGTAGATGATGTATCAGGGGAAAAGCTCGCCGAGATATACGAGAAGTTACAGATAATGGGGAGTGACTCGGCTGAAGCCCAAGCTTCGAAAATTCTTGCTGGTTTAGGGTTTTCAAAAGAGATGCAAGCTCGTCCCACTAAACGGTTTAGTGGGGGTTTGAGAATGAGGGTTTCATTAGCTAGGGCACTTTTCTTGCAACCCACTCTCTTGCTATTGGATGAACCCACAAGCGATCTCGATCTTAGAGCTGTTTTCTGGTTAGAGGAGTACCTTTGTAGGTGGAAGAAAACACTAGTTGTGGTCTCGCATGATCGTGATTTTTTGAACACAGTTTGTACTGATATTATCCATCTTCATGATGAGAAACTCCACTTCTATAGAGGGAATTTTGATGATTTTGAAACTGGGTATGAGCAAAAGCGCAAAGAAAGCAACAAAAAGTATGAGATTTATGAGAAGCAAGTCAAGGCGGCGAAGAGGACGGGGAGTAAAGCTCAGCAAGATAAGGTTAAGAATAGGGCAAAATTTGTGGCGAGCAAGGAGGTGATAAAGGCAAAGGGGAAGGGCAAGGCTGATGATGATGATGGGCCACTGCCTGAGGCTCCAAAGAAATGGAGGGATTATAGAGTGGAGTTCCATTTCCCTGAGCCAACTGAACTAACCCCGCCTCTATTGCAGTTCATTGAGATTAGTTTTAGCTATCCAAACAGGGAAGATTACAGGCTTTCTAATGTTGATGTGGGTATTGATATGGGCACAAGGGTTGCAATTGTGAGACCAAATGGGGCAGGGAAGTCCACTTTGCTCAATTTAATTGCTGGAGATTTGCAGCCGGCTGAGGGAGAGGTTAGGAGGAGCCAAAAACTTAGAATTGGAAGGTATTCTCAACATTTTGTCGATCTACTGACCATGGAAGAAACGCCAGTCCAATACCTTCTCAGGCTTCACCCTGAACAGGAAGGGCTCAGCAAACAAGAGGCTATGTGTGCAAAGCTGGGGAAATTCGGTCTCCCAAGTCATAACCATCTTACCCCAATTGCAAAACTATCAGGTTGTCAGAAAGCAAGAGTGGTTTTCACATCAATATCAATGGCAAGGCCCCACATTTTGTCGTTGGATGAACCCACGAATCATTTAGATATGCAGAGCATCGATGCATTAGCCGAAGCACTAGAAGAGTTTACTGGTGGGGTGGTCTTGGTTAGTCATGATTCGAGGCTTATTTCTCGGGTTTGTGAGGATGAAGAGAAAACTGAGATATGGGTGGTTGAGAATGGGACTGTTAGAAAGTTCCCCCGATCATTTGAGGAGTACAAGGATGAATTGGTGAGAGAGATCAATGCTGAGGTTGATGATTAATGCAGTTTTTGGTCATATTAATATTTGATTTTCCATTACACAATAATAGGTTAGTTACCATTGAACTGCTTTCATTTGATATGCGTGATGTAAAGTTTATAAGTTAAGCTTGATTTGTACTCACAACTTTATTATTTACAATTTAAGGTTTGTCAGTTTGTAAGTTAAATGTGTTTTCTGAGCTTTAATCTACCCATCATGTGTTATCTGTAACATACTGGAGAGATGGCTTCATCAGTTTTGCATTATTAAAGAAAAGAATGGAGGTCATTGCCTCCATTCTCACTAACACTTTCAAAAAATTAACTCTTTCCAACACGGTTAGGGGCTCGTAATCTCCACTGATCTACTCAAAAAAAAAAAAAAAAGGTAAGCGGGAAGCACAATCTGTCCCCCTTCTTTAAAAAAAAAAAAGGTAAGCGGGAAGCACAATCTGTCCCCCTTCTTTAAAAAAAAAAAAGGTAAGCGGGAAGCACAATCTGTCCCCCTTCTATAGTGCATTTAAGAATAGGGCTTGGGCTTGCGCTTGAGTCTTTAGCAGCTGAACGCTGCATCTCAAGTTCTATTCCTACTACTGAACTGCCCCAAAAAAAAACGAGGAGCCCTACCCCTCCCTGCCCCACCAGAAAAATGAAAAGAAAAAAAAAGAAGAACATTTCGCTTTCCGTGGGCCCTTGTTCTTGCTAAATAATTATCATGGAGTGTTATTTTATGCTTGATCAGTTGGCGAAACTTGCAAATGTGTTAGTGATTCGCAAAAAGTTCAATTTTGAACCATGGCTTCTCAGTGTTCTGAGATCTTGTTAATGTTTTGTTTAATTGGCTTTCCCTATGCATGTTGAACCTGATGTGAAAGTGAGTTGTTGACTTGTGTTTTTCACTTAGTGATTGGTAAATTATAAGTACCATCAAATGCATTCTCAACTTTTTGTAAATAGATTGAAGTAACCTTTTCTCTAAAAACCTTTTTGTAAATAGATTGTGCTTATAATAATCTCAATGATTAATTAGGTAGCTTATTTAGCTGGGTATCATTTCTTGTTTCAGTCTCTTGATCCTGAATGTAGTTGCATTATATGCTAAGCGACAATGTGTCTCTTGTTATTCAATCACATACAATGAAGTGCCGGAACATCGAGTGTCAATTTAATTGATATAGTTCAAATGGTATCATGCCCTTGTTTATCTAGAATGTTTGCACAATCGAGGACATGTGATGTGAATTTTTTAGGGGGTAGCAATTGGTGAGAAGAAAATGGAAATTTATGGTTTCTAGGGAAGGAGTACTAGTGTATTAGGGGATTCCAACGTGTATAGCTTATTCTGGTCTTTAAGAATAGCAGAAGTTTGTTCTAGATGATTGCATTTTCGAGGCTTGACTTCCTCCCCTAAACCTACGTCATCATAGAAATCCAGAGCTGCCAGTTTTTTAGTTTTTTTAACAATCAAAACAAAGAAAAAGAAAAAAGAAAAAAGATGACAGATGCTTGAGTTTTTATGGACATAATTGCCCCATTACTCCCTGATCTAGAGTTAGTCGGCAAACTAATTATAACAAGAAAAAGAAAAATGACATCAATCTTCAGAAGAATAGCCCTTTTGCCATAGTTATCCTCCTTGATGTTTTCGCATATGGATATTTCATGGAATAAGCACTTGTTAAATTTGAAAACTGTGTTTCAAATCATTAAGGTAGCACAAACCAGAATTAAAAATAGAGAGCAGAGTCTAGAATGAATTTGAAGAGACGTGAACTTGACAAAGTAGTTACAGTTTATTTAGGAGTTGGGACATTTCACTGAAATTAGAGTGATAAAAATTGATCCATCAAGTTGTAACATCCTTTAAGGATTGGCAAAACCTCATACAATGACTGGATTGAGTAGATTCATTGGCCGATGCATTATTTTTGGGAAGTTATAAAAGACTGTTTTCACATAGCCGTGGGTGCAATTAGATGATTGCAAATTGACAAGGGCGGCATTAATTGGGAGAGTTAGAAGAAAGGGTGTCTTGATTATTGATAAGGGCATATGTGCAATGCTTTGGTGTCAGACATGCTTGATGTGGGATTGCTTTTAAAGAGAGGTGGATTTGGTCATACCGTCCGAGACTGTTGAGTAGTTTTGTTACTTTTGTGTAGCAGTGCTGGTTACAATTGTGATCTATTATCTGTTATGTAATGAATTTACTGTATGTGATAGAATAGCAAGCACTAGTAAGAAATGGAGACGTTATATTTTGGGTGAGCATAAGACTATTGTGCATTCTGACCAGAAATTGAAATTATAGCAAACAGCAAACTCAAACCAAGCTACAAATAACATGATATTTAAAATGTTTGGTCAAATGCAGAAAACACTAGATCAATTAATGTAGTTGTTGTCAGTCCTCTGCTCTGGACACATAGAGTAGTCGTGGAAAGAAGTGTGAGACGTGATGTGCTAATGTCATTTAGTTTATCTGGTTCACATATGCACATGTGAAACATGAATAATGATTTGATATGATAATTGGAAAGTGCAAACATCCGATTTCCCTTTGAGGTTTAGCCTTTTTCCTATGAACTCTGAAGGTGGGGAAGTCACCCACATCCAAATTATGGAAAATTTCCACTAATAATGAATAAATTATAGAGGGCATCAGTCGAAGTCACCAGCATGATATTGACCTCAGGATATGGGCATCCCTTTTGTTTATCTTGGAATGGAGGATGAATCCCAGCTCTCCACCGAATCTGTGTGGAGGCATATCACCCACATGTCTCTTTTAAGATTTACTCGTAACTCCCAAACTGTGTGGAACTATGGAGGTGGATGAGCATGATGATAGAGGGGATTCCTTTATCATTGATTGGTGGGTGTTTATTATGCTTTTGTATTCTGTTGGGCTATCGAAAATGAAATTCCCTCAACATGTCATCTCTTCTGTCAGAGTGGCAATTGTTAGAATTTAGAACAATTTTTTATTTTGATCTGGAACTGTTGTTTTATTTGTTATACAGACTAGTGTTTTACTGTTTTGCAGGCAGCAGTTCACTTATTAAGAGATGGTACCATTGTGATTATGGCCCAAAAATCAATTTGAGAACATGCTGGTTTGCTGAAGCACCTATTCTCTTTTAAGTCGAGGACAGCTGAAGCACCTATTGTGGTTGTTTTTTTTCCCCTTTGTTATGGATGAGTCTGGGAAACTGGCAGAACATAATCTTTTTTTTTTTTGGAGTGTTAATCACACAATAGGAATTATAAGGGTGGCAGCGGACCGGGTCTGGGCAGGGCCAACCCGGGCCTTGTTAGTAACAGGCCGGGCAAAAGACAAATAAAGAAAAATGAAAGAAAAAACAAGAGAAAAAGAAGGCCTGGCCAGCCAGAACCAGGCCGGCACTGGCCATAGCCTGGCCCTCAGGCCACACAGTTTGTGACCCAGGCCCTACTTCTCTAGGGCAGGGCAGGGCAGGGCCGGGCCGGGCCGGGTCACCCAGCCCATTGCCAGCCTTAAGGAATTAATAGGATCCTCAAATCCTGCAACTCTTCTGTGGGACCTATAGGTGCTATTCTCTTTGTATATCTTTTAATTGTTTCATGATTTGCTTTTGGTTCCATTCCATCTTTTGTGGGTTGTTTGAGTGGGTTCCTGGGGCCTTGGCATAACTTTTCTAAGGGTCTGGGATAAAAGGGGAGTATAATGCGGTTACAATGCTTCTATGTCGTATCGTTAGGATCAGGAGAGTTTAATTGTTCTTTACTTTCCTGCAATGTTTGACAATTCCGGCGAATCAACTTGGACTCACCGAAGTCAACCTGCCAAGCCTGGAACACCCCCATCCCAAGGCTATGTAGAATTGATTTATAATTAGTTACAATTGATTTAATCTTTGACTAAATCAATTATAGTTGATCTATAATAAATTTTCTGTGTAATTTTTGTTTTTTTAATTGTTCTTGATATCTTTTTTTAAATTTCGCATCTTTTACGTACTTTTTATGTTGTTTGTCATTTTTTTCCTATTTGCTATTTTTCTGGGTTTTTTTTCTCTCTTTTGGTTGCTCGGTATGGACTCAGCAAGTCCACTTGGACTTGCCAAGTCACTCAGATTGCCCAGGGCCTGAGTTCCACGGATTTTCGAACACTGCTTTCATGTGATGGTAGAAAAGATGAATGGTGGGAATTCTGATCATGTTGAAGATGATGGGGTTTGTGGCTATTAAGTTACATCTATCAGGAGGTGAGACTTCTTATCTTGGGAGAATGGTGCCAAGGGTGTCCTACCTATGTGCCCTACTAGGTTAAGAATATGTTTCTCTTTTAGTGTTACTGTCTGGTGTGTATGGTCAAGGTGTTGCATCCTTCAAAGCCTCTAAAGTCATGTGGCTTGATGTTGATTTTGAATGTGCGATTCCATTTCAGTCTTGGAAGTTAGTGATAGGAATCTTTCAACATTTGTCTAGTGAAGTTCTATTTGGTCGGAAGTTCTCTTCTTTAATGGTTGAATGGACTTGTATTGGTCACTGATGGTTAACATTATGAAAGAAGCTTATCCTTTTTGAGTTTCGAGCTCTAGAGTTTAAGAGTGAAAGATGATGTTGGACCAATTTTTTTATCACTTGAAATTGTGTTGATCTAAATGCTTGTATGAAGTATGAGGCTTCTTCCCAAAACCATTGTGGATGTGTATAATGCTTCTTTTGAGGATGGGGTTGCATAAACATGGTTTTGAAGTTTGAGCCCTAGAAAGCTACTGGTTGAGACAGAATTTCATACTTAATCCTTCATTATGCTGGAATTTGAAAACATTCATTGGCATGAGACCCATCTTGATTGGTTATTTGGAGCTAATTGGTTGGTCACCTTGGGTTTCTCATTTAAATGCAGTTCTACACAAAGGTTGACTTCACCTATTGATCAATTTGAAGCTTCCAGATATGGCAAAAAGGTGCCTCTCTTATGTTGTAGTCGATTAAGAAAAAAATCAAATAAAAAGAAGCCTACATTCTCAGTACAATGAAATGCCTAACGCAAGAAAAAAATAAAAAACAAAAAAAAAGTAGCCTCTACTCTGGGGTACAAAAATGTAATAGGTTTTCTATATTTTTTTTTGAGATTGTTAACTTTGTATTGATTGGGAAAGAAGTACATAGAGAAAAGAATAAATGTCCTTATAACTAGGGGCTGTACACAAGCACCTCATGGGTTCCAAAAAAATCAGTCCCTAAGAAAGGTAAGTGAGCAGAATATAACATATACAGTGAAGAAGAGGTATGAGAGAGGGGAGGTATGCCGAGATCAAGGGCCAGCAGCTGCTACGTTCGAAGCAGAGGCCCCATCTTTGGCAAGTGCATCAGCTTCGGAGTTAGCTTCTCTTTGGGTATGGCTCCATGAGATTTGAAGGGCTGAGCAGCAAAAAAAATATTTCATTGAAGAGGTGTTGCAGTCTTCAAGGGCAGGGAGTTGCTCCTGAGGCCCAGTCGATCACATTGTGGTTATCACCTTCGGTTAAAAGGGAGGGTTTCCAAGACAGGTCGATGGTTTTTAGGCGTTTCATATTTTATTCACGTTTTTTGATGAGTGGCTTTGTTAGTGTAGCTGACTGGGTAAGGGAAGTCATATTCTGATCTTGATGAATACTTTGCAAGTGAATACTTCAGAGGAGGATTTGGTCTCCAACTAGACAAGGAGGAGAAATATTTCATGTTAATGGATGGATTGGGTTCCTTAATGTCCATTGTTGCAGGGGAGTTGGAAGTATTTGAGGGAGCTTTTATATGGGAATTGGAAATTTTGATCTGATGGATGCTTAACCTTTCGGGTGAAGTTAATTAGTTGAAGGTTTGGCACATCGTTCTGAGGTCTATATGCATCCCATGGCGGAGCCTAGTTGAGTTGCAGGGAGGATCACCCACCCGGTGATTCTGGTCCAGATCACTATTTCTCGGGATCTCCAGGTGATCAAATGAGAGAGAGAGAGAGAGAGTCAGAAGTAAACAATCAGTAGTTAAGTGGGTGGGGCATTTTAGTGACTGATACTAGGAGTATAACAATTAGGTTTACGTGTGTGATGGTCATGAGCAATTGGGCATGTCACATGTGAAAGGATTTTATATTTCTCCAACACAGATTTATTTAGAGAAGACAGTGGCTATCAATCATTTAGGAGAGAAAGCATACATGGAAACTATATCTAATTAATTAGGCGAGAGGTAGAGATGTCATAGCCATGTTAAAATTTGAAATATCGAGGACATTTTCGATTCTGCAAAATATAGGAGATATGTATGAAATTTTTTATTTTTAAAAATATAATAGAAAAGCCACTATCATGAGTTTACAATAGTTGATATTAGAGGCGTATTTTGTCAAATGGGTGTAATGCTGAAAATTTAGTATCTACTCATGCACATTTTGATAAGTTTCTATTCTCATAAAATGAAGTGCGAGTAGACAGAGCACGAGGGAGATGACAAAACATATGAGGATGGCAAACGAGGTCTTAAAATTCAAAAAATAAAGAAAGAAAGAAATTTTTTTTTTAAAAAAGGTCTTGCTCTACTTTTGAAAATGGAAAATATTTGTAAGATTTTTTAAAAGAAAATCTTAAAATTATTATTATTATTAAGAAAATTGTTTCATGAAGGCCGGTCCATATTTATACAATATGTGGTCCCAAGGTATAAAGCATCATCTTAAAGATTGGATGAAAATAAGTGGTTCATCTAAAAACAAATGAACCTAACGGTCCAAATGTTTTTTTAATTAGAATTATTATTTCTAATTTTTAAAATTTATTTATTTATTCGTATTCATGATCTCCCCTGTTAGAGAATAAACGTTCTTAAAAATTATTTTAAAAAATTATCTAAATATAGATTTTTAAGAGGTGACTAATTTCTACATGAACTTATAGAAACCGTGTCCTTAGTATTATTATTATTATTAAAACACATAGAGCACAACCTGCCCATTTTATGAGGAAGTAGATCTAGCCCTAAGAACTAAAATTAATTATTTTCTTTTTAATAATGCACCAAACGATGATAAAGCAATTTACAAAACTTATTTATTTACAAAATTTAAATTGAGGCTGAGCCCATCCTCCTAGACGATCTCACACTATTTTTTCTTTCCAAAAAAATAAGACTGCCAGTATTCCTTGTGATTTTTCTACGGGAAAGAAACTACTTTAGAAGAAGGGTGAAGTTTGTACAAGGTGTCCGTCTTATACTCTACAAGTAAGGCAACCGGAAGGTGTAGTTTCAATGTGGGGAACTTTAAGATGGCTTGAAAATCCATATTCAATTCTGATTATAAAATTTAAAACTTAAAAAATGATACTGATTGATCATATCTATAAATACTTCAAAATCGTAAAAATACAATCCTGATAATTTGTTAATATTCGTAGGCCTTGAAATTCTTTTGTTTCTTTACACCATATATCTCAAAGTCGAGATTATCAATTGAAAGATTTTTCCATCAACACTCCTTTCTACAAAATTTTTCAGATCTTATATAAACTTTTTCCTTAGAAGAAACCCTTCTTTCTCATTTTCCTTTTACTTTTGGGATGTTTGTTGTCTGGATCAAGAGAATGCAAACGTCAAATCGAGCAAAATAAATACCCTTACGACCAAGAGGGTGGATTCTATTGTGATGCGGGCAGAGCAAATACTTGCCCTTCTGATTGACCAAATGTTTTGCCTTTTGAAAGGCCAGTAAATTTCTATTTACTATGTAATTAAGAGTCACAAATGATGGAAAACGTTCTTTCTTTCCTATCTGCAGGCTTCATCTGTGGTCGTAGAAAACCGGAGGTTATCTGATACATAGAGAGAGAGAGAGAGAGCTCTGCAGTTTCACGACAAATTTGAAGGTTGGCACTCCCGAATAGTGGGAGACAGACTTTAAGCAAGAGCCCCAAATGGCCGTAATATCGAACACGCAAGGTCTCCTCCTCTCATCCAGTAGGAATAAAGGTCCCCTTCTCTTGTCCAATGGGACTTCATTCAAAGGTCTCCTTCTCTTGTCCAGTAGGTCTTCATTCAAAGGTTTCCTTTCTCACCCATATAATTGCTCCAAATTTAGAGTGTAAGTCCAGTTTTTGAGATTGTACACGGAGACCAAGTACTATAGTACAAAAAGGTCACAATTGTTTTTACCTATTGAGTGTGAAATCCGTAGACTAAAATGTAGTTAAAGAATTTTATTTTGGATTTTGTGCCCAATCAATGCTATATCTTCAACCATCCGACTTTACATTCAAATTATCAATAATAACTGTGACCTCTTTGTATCAAAAGTCGTCGTCTTCTTCATCATTTTAGCTTTTTCCCAATTAGAAATATATGGTCTTATTGTATTGTATACATTTGGTTTCCTACTTTTTCTTTCAAAGTATAGAAAGGCATCTTTGTTTAATGGAAGAGGGGGCAACCAAAGACCACTCTTCTGTACACACTTCAGAAGCCACTACTACTATGGATGGCTTAGCATGAAAACAGTAGCTTCCACAAAACATGCCAAATTATGTTGTTTTAGAAACCGCTGGAAGCATAATGCTTCTGGTAAAATATACGGAACTGCTACATTTGTGGAAGTCAGAGACTTTGGAAGCCTTTGCTCCAAGAAACAAATATCCCAATACATTCGTGTCAAAGTGACACACTGGTGCCATGCCTTATTCAGACAGGTCTATCATTTCTGACCCCAATAGACTAGGGTTTCTACAAAAAATTGGACTATAGTATGTTCTCCTTGACTACAAACACTTCTCATCCATGCAAAAGCTGTGCTCTACATGGTTTCACATTAAGTATTCTTCCTTCTATATTTCATAATGCTTCCATAGATGTTAATCATGCTGTTGCTTCCACAAAGTCAAACATGCAGAACAATAAAACCTCTAGAACCAAAAAGAGAAAACAGAGACACTATTCCTAAATTTTACGCTCATGAGGGTTTTCAACAAAGTCTTCAATAATCAGTTAACCCAAAATTTAAATCAACACAGTGCAGCTAATTTTAAGTCCTCTCAACATAAATAACACTAAGCTCACTTTCTCCTAGATATAAGCATGCAAATTCTCAGCAGATATTCAATGTGTGTGTGAGAGAGAGAGAGTCCCCTCAGTAGAGTTCACCTTCCTTGTGGGTGTGGATCACACAATCCGAAGTGGGGTACGAGACACAAGTTAGCACATAGCCCTTGCTGAGTTGCTCGTCATCGAGAAAAGACCCATCAGATTGATCAACCCTTCCCTGCACAATCTTGCCTGCACAAGTGGAGCAAGCACCAGCCCTGCAAGAGTAAGGGAGCTCAATCCCTGCCTGCTCAGCCGAGTCCAAAATATAGACATCATCAGGTGCTTCAAAATCATTTTCAACCCCATCAGCACCAATAAGCTTGACCTTGTAAGTTGCCATTGCTTGGACTTTGAAAAGAGAGGAGGACTTCTTTAACCCAAAGGCCTTTGAGATGTTCTTTGTGGTACCCAAAGAAAAGGGGCCTTTGATTCGAAGACCAGGGGTGTTTCTTGAAGATGGGATACTTGTCATGGCACAGATGGTAGGAAGGGTCATGCTAGCCATGGTATGGTATCTAAAAACCCACACATAACAGCAAAAGTGAGGACCGTGTGTGTGTGTGTGTGTGAGAGAGAGAGAGAGAGAGAGAGAGAGAGAGAGAGAGAAAGTAGAGACGTAGTGTGTGTGTGTGTGTGTGAGAGAGAGAG